CCACAGTCCCAGTTGCTGTACAGCAGTACGACCCTAGTGGACAGGACCACCTACGAACTCATGAAGAACATGAAGATAAAGAACGACATCAACCCGCCAGCAGTATCGCCGTTGGCAGCGGAATTGGGGCCGGTAGGGGGGGTGTCCACCAGCAAGGGGGGGGGGCAGCACCAGCACCACCAGCAGGCAGGGCCGCGGTCCCGGCAAAGGCGATGGGCGGTGGCGAAGGCGCCTTCGGCGCCGCCGCTCCCGCTGAGCCCGGACGAGGTGTCGTACACGGCGGCGGCGGTGGCACGTCTGATGTCGGGCCAGCGGTTCGTGTCGGGGGCGGTAGTGCGGCGGCTGGCAGCGGGAGTGCTGGCGGCGGCGCCGCGCATGTCGCCCTCGGCGCTTGTCCAGACGGTGTGGGCGCTGGCGGAGCTTGGAGCTGTGGTGAGGAGGAGGGGGGTGTCTGTCTGTGTGTATGTGTATGTATGTATGTATGTATGTGTATGTATGTATGTGTGTGTATGATGTGTGGGACAGGGGGGCATACCTTATGATGATGTATGTATGTATGATGTGTGGGACAGGCGGCATATCTTCACCCGTGGCAGCTACCCTGCGAAACCCTGGTATTTCGGGGCACCCTCATCCAGTCACCCTAGACAACTTCTCAGTGGATCGCTCAGGTTTAGCATCCACCACCAGCATCCAACGGAATCTGCCGGGTCGACAGCGGCACAACTCCATTCCTGGTCGGCTCGCAGGTTAACTTTATCCCAGGTCACCACCGTCCATCAACTTAGACCGCAATACCTTCCACGATCGGAAGGATTTTTTCGACCTTGATAGGTCTCGATCCCGGGATCTCCCGGGGGCCATGGTCGCGCGTTACCAGTAGTGCCTAACCTATGTATGTCTGTTTGAGGGGGAGAGGAATGCACGGGGTGCGCCAATGTGTGAGTGTGTTACGTCCAGGTGGGTTTTCTTACCCTCAGTCCTGGCGCCCCCTGCCTCTCAACAGTAGCGTTACGCTAGTACTACTTTTGCCCCTTGCCCCGCGTGACGTCAGGCCCCGCATGTCGTACATCCCGAGGGAGCCGACCTGCTGCTGGGTGTTCTGTGGAAGCGGCTACCTGACCTCCCGGCGCAGGTGGGGTTGGAGAGGGGGGCAGTAGAGCTGTGCTGGAGTAGTGTAGGGGTTGCGGGGGTGGAGGGGGCGGTTGGCGGTTAGAGAGAGCTAAAAAAATGGTTGGGTTTTGGGTTTTGGCTAAAAACGGCGCACACCGCCACACCCGCACACCGCCACACCCGCACACCGCCACACCCGCACACCGCCACACGCGCACACCGCCACACGCGCACACCGCCACACCCGCAAACCGCCACACGCGCAGACCGCCACACCCGCACACCGCCACACGCGCACACCGCCACACGCGCACACCGCCACACCCGCACACCGCCACACCCGCACACCGCCACACGCGCAGACCGCCACACGCGCACATCGCCACACGCGCACACCGCCACACCCGCACACCGCCACACGCGCACACCGCCACACGCGCACACCCCCACGCGCGCACACCGCCACACGCGCACACCCCCACACCCGCACACCGAC